GCGGCTCGACGTTTGCGAGGCACTACACATCAAGAAGTCAACACCAGCAATCAACAGCCAATTATTGCACAACTATATTCTACCCACCTCAAGACTCCGCTCCAATATAGAAGCATCAAGAAATATGGACCAATAGGCTTTCTACAACACTTCTATTCAATATCCATTGTTTCGTGTTCTGTCTTGTGTTGATACTTTTAATACCCTATTAATATCCTCTAATGCCACATCATCCTTCCCACCTTACTCAAATGTAATGCCACATCACCCTTCCCACCTCACTCAAATGTAGATATAAATCAGGGAAACGCAAGTTCTAATCAGTTGTGTATTTGTGAAGTCTTTGAAAATGTAATAAGTTTTACGAAACGCGCCCGTGTCGCGTCAGACTAGAAATAAAAATGAATTTTGGAGAAGTGATTTTTGATTTACCTCCAACAGTGAAGCATAACGTACGAAAGATTGAGAAAATTCGTGTTAGAATTATTAATCTTACTTTTTCGGTCATATTTAATAAAATATATATATATATATATATATATATATATATATATATATATATATATATATATATATATATATATATATATATATATATATATATATATATATATATATATACATATATATATGTCATACCTAGTAGCCAGAACGCACTTCTCAGCCTACTATGCAAGGCCCGATTTGCCTAATAAGCCAAGTTTTCCTGAATTAATATATTTTCTCTAATTTTTTTCTTATGAAATGATAAAGCAACCCATTTTATTATGTATGAGGTCAATTTTTTTTATTGGAGTTAAAATTAACGTAAATAAATGACCGAACCTAACCAACCCTACCTAACCTAACCTAACCTATCTTTATAGGTTAGGTTAGGTTAGGTAGCCGAAAAAGTTAGGTTAGGTTAGGTTAGGTTAGGTTAGGTTAGGTTAGGTTAGGTTAGGTTAGGTTAGGTAGCCGAAAAAGTTAGGTTAGGTTAGGTTAGGTAGGTTAGGTAGTCGAAAAACAATTAATTCATGAAAACTTGGCTTATTAGGCAAATTGGGCCTTGCATAGTAGGCTGAGAAGTGCGTTCTGGCTACTAGGTACGACATATATATATATATATATATATATATATATATATATATATATATATATATATATATATATATATATATATATATATATATATATATATATATATATATATATATATATATATATACATATATATATATATATTTAGATGAGGTAAGGTGAGGTGTTATGGAGATAATGTCGGCTGGAGCAGTAGGTGTCGGTGCAGCTGGTCGTCTCATTTGTGTCTGTGAAACACGTTTGAAATTTTGCCACCAAAAGCTCGTAGTTCGCCTGCCGGCTGACGCACGCCACAAGGAGCGCGTGGCATTTCATTTTCTTATGCTAAACCTATCTGCAGCTTCCCTGTACCAGCTGAGCAAATGTTTGCTCCTCAGGGCTGGTGAGGGAATAAGATTATCACAGCACGAGGCTCTGTCTTCCCCCCGAGGTTCTCCTCTATCAGAATTTACTAATCTCATCGCACTCACTAATTTAAATTTGCCCGTCCTCGAAATGTTCAAACTGGTCAGCCCGTTCTATTGATTTACCAAAATATAAAATAATAAGTCGTTCTAAAAAGCACGAACCCAAGCCACCTTCTTAACCTAACCAACCTCTACATCATATATGTAGAGCCGCTGATTTAATAGTTCCCCTTATTTTGTGCGTTGGTGGCCATAGCGTACAAAATGAGACTAATTAATTGTTCACTAGAATGCTCTTAAAAGTTATAATGGATGAGAGGAGAAGGCAGGAAGAGTCGTTGATCATCAAACACTTCACATCATTAAGGGGACGGAGATATCACAGAAACGATTAATATGAAATAGACGAGAGCGCAGCCGGGGCACCAGCTGACATGATGGGACGCGGACCACAGCTGCATGAGGCTCGTAGAGCGGCAACAACAGAGGAGTTTGTAGAGCAGCAACAACAGAGGGACTCGTAGAGCGGCCACAACAGAGGGGTTCGTAGAGCAGCAACAACAGAGGGGTTCGTAGAGCAGCAACAACAGAAGGGTTCGTAAAGCAGCAACAACAGAAGGGTTCGTAGAGCAGCAACAACAGAGGGGTTCGTAGAGCAGCAACAACAGAGGGGTTCGTAGAGCAGCAACAACAGAAGGGTTCGTAGAGCAGCAACAACAGAAGGGTTTGTAGAGCAGCAACAACAGAGGGACTCGTAGAGCGGCCACAACAGAGGGGTTCGTAGAGCAGCAACAACAGAGGGGTTCGTAGAGCAGCAACAACAGAAGGGTTCGTAGAGCAGCAACAACAGAGGGTTCGTAGAGCAGCAACAACAGAAGGGTTCGTAGAGCAGCAACAACAGAAGGGTTCGTAGAGCAGCAACAACAGAGGGGTTCGTAGAGCAGCAACAACAGAGGGGTTCGTAGAGCAGCAACAACAGAAGGGTTCGTAGAGCAGCAACAACAGAAGGGTTCGTAGAGCAGCAACAACAGAAGGGTTCGTAGAGCAGCAACAACAGAAGGGTTCGTAGAGCAGCAACAACAGGAGGGTTCGTAGAGCAGCAACAACAGAAGGGTTCGTAGAGCAGCAACAACAGAGGGTCTCGTAGAGAACCGCAATAGAGGAACTCGTAAGGCGGCAGCATCAAAGAGACTCGTAGAGCGCATCTACAGAGATATTTGTAGAGCTGCAGCAATAGAGGGACTGGCAGAGCATCAACAATGTAAGCACATCAGAATTATGTTAACTGTAAAAGGCATATTGGACCTTACTTGTCAACTCCTATTTATATCTTCCCAAACTCATAATATATGTAACTAACGTACACTTGAAACCATTTATGAATCCCAAGTATATTATGTCACGTGGTAATTTGTTCCTTAAGTCAACAATCTTGTTTCCAAACCAGTATTTACCCAGGTCTTTCCTAAATTTGAGCTTATCAAATTTAGATTCATTGCTTTGTGCCTTATTTTATGTTTATATATTTAACACTATTTTAATGCCCTCTTTGTTAAACGCTTTCATTCACTTGCACATTTCAATCGTGTCACCCGTAATTTCGCCTCTCTAGAGAATGTAAAAAAGGCTTTTTCAACCTCTCGTCATAGAGAACGTTTCTTATTCCTGTGATTAATTTTGTCATCCATCGCTAAATGCGTTCCAGATAATTTTTGTCCATTCTAGAGTATTGAGTCCAATACGAAACAGCATAATCTGAATAAGGCCAACAGGAGCAGGATGAGGTTAAAGAACAACGTTATTTGCTATCCATTCGTTATTTAGACCATTCGTTATTTACGTCAACGTTTATCTTGCCCGAAACGCATTGCGTAATAGTGGCTTTAGGCACTGTATGTACTAGCTCTATCTATATATCAATCCATTAATGTAACATCACTTGTATGTATATACCTTACCTGAATAAACATCTGAATCTGATTTACAGTTATTGCTTCTAAAAGTAGATCCTCAATATATTATGTGACTTATTCTTAACTTTAATACATTTTTCGACTTAAATTCCTACTATTCATAACTCCCAGATCCTTTTTATATTTATTCGTCGCTGTTGAGCACTATCCATGTACTATCTGGTAACTCTGTCATTATTACCTATTCCCAGAACTCTGAATTTTTCAGAATTAAACTGTATCTCTTAATATTTCGTCCATTTAAATTTTTAATCATATTGATGATTTTGAATCATCAGAACATATTTTCGGCCCAATTCTTGTATTAACATAACATTTAAAAAAAAGATCTGTTCAATCCTGTCTGTAAATCATTTATATAATTGGTAAACAGCAGCGGTCCCAGGTCTGGTTCCTTGGGCACTATACTTAAAACAGGTTTCCACTCTGACTTAACTCCAATTAGGTTAATGTTAATCCAATCAATTACATATCAGCCGTTCTAAGAGGGAGAAAATTCGATTTACATTCTGGTGAAAGACATTTCAAATGATATGATAGAAGCATGCAAGTGGATGACAGGCAATGACTAAGGATATATTAATCGGGTATTAAATATATTAAAACTATAAGAATTATAGGAAAATGTAGTAGGCTTATTGGTACATACGAGGCAGCTCAAATTTATACCCAACATAGGAACATATTGTCCAGTAGGAGTGGGGCGATGTTGCCTTCTGTACATAGATCGTTTTCATACTTTCTAGAACCTATAAAAACTGCCAATGGGTGATATCCATGATTATATTTGTATGTAAGACGTTTGTTTTGTGCAACTTTAAGGCTTAGGCACATATAATAATTGCTATACATAAATGTGTATTTTGATATATGGATATATAAATAAATAAGCACTAATGAAACACTAGAAGGCTTGTGGGTGTCGTTGTGGATGACTGTGACTTGAAGAACTCACATTAAGTTTAGGTTCTTACCAAATTTATGCGTATAGGTAAAAACCTTCTACTTATCAGTAGAAAGTGCTAAGCCAATATGACTGCAATAGATATAATATTGGATATGAGGACAAGGAGTTGGGATATGTGGACGAAGTAAAGGAACGGTGTCTAACTACTTGGACCCCTGGGGATCGAGCGCCGATATACAAGACACCAGACCCTCACTGTACCGTGGTTGAGGTCTAATTACCTTTTGAGGCACAAGTGGTTGGACCTCAAAAGTGTTAGTAGTTGATTGAGGAGCAAAGTGAAAATGCAAAAATCATTCCGCAAATAATTTCAAGGAAAAAAAAAGAATAGGGGGAGGATGAAACTCTGCGGTGTTCACCCGGATACTTTCAACTACCTGAGGGACCATCAGGATTGCGGGGTGAGCAATGATTAATTTTTCTTTACCTTTATCGGAATCAGGATGTGTTTTAAGTTTTTCTAAGTTAGCTAACGACACTTAGCTCGTGTGTTTTTTTTTCCTAGGAACAACAACACCAATTGCTAAGGAACTACCAGATAACCATGGTAGATAGGATAGATTCTAGGAGAAACTAATTTTGAAGCTTGGGGTTGTGAGCCTTGGTGTTGTGAGCCTTGGGGTTGTGATTCTTGGTGTTGTGAGCCTTGGGGTTGTGATTCTTGGTGTTGTGAGCCTTGGGGTTGTGATTCTTGGTATTGTGATCCTTGGTATTGTGAGCCTTGGGGTTGTGAACCTTGGGGATGTAAGCCTTGGGGTTGTGAGCCTTGGGGTTGTGAACCTTGGGGATGTAAGCCTTGGGATTGTGAGCATTGGGGTTGTGAACCGTGGGAATGTGAGCCTTGGGGTTGTGAATCTTGGTGTTGTGAACCTTGGGGATGTAAGCCTTGGGGATGTAAGCCTTGGGGTTGTGAATCTTGGTGTTGTGAACCTTGTGGATGTAAGCCTTGGGGTTGTGAGCCTTGGTGTTGTGAACCTTGGTGTTGTGAGCCTTGGTGTTGTGAGCCTTGTGGTTGTCAGCCTTGGTGTTGTGAGCCTTGGTGTTGTGAGCCTTGTGGTTGTGAGCCTTGGGGTTGTGAGCCTTGGTGTTGTGAACCTTGGTGTTGTGAGCATTGGTGTTGTGAGCCTTGGGGCTGTGAACCTTGGGATTGTGAGCCTTGGGGTTGTGAGCCTTGGGGTTGTTGTGAGCCTTTGGGTTGTGAGCCTTGATGTTGTGAGCCTTGGGGTTGTGAGCCTTGGTGTTGTGAACCTTGGTGTTGTGAGCCTTGGTGTTGTGAACCTTGGTGTTGTGAGCCTTGGGATTGTGAGCCTTGGGGTTGTGAGCCTTGGGGTTGTTGTGAGCCTTGGGGTTGTTGTGAGCCTTGGGGTTGTGAGCCTTGGGGTTGTGAGCCTTGGAGTTGTGAGCCTTGGGATTGTTAGCCTTGGGGTTGTGAGCCTTGGGGTTATGAGCCTTGGGGTTGTGATCCTTGGGGTTGTGAGCCTTGGGGTTGTGAGCCTTGGTGTTGTGAACCTTGGGGTTGTGAGCCTTGGGGTTGTGAGCCTTGAGGTTGTGAGCCTTGGGTTGTGAGCCTTGGTGTTGTGAGCCTTGTGGTTGTGAGCCTTGGGATTTTGAGCCTTGGGGTTGTGAGCCTTGGTGTTGTGAGCCTTGGTGTTGTGAGCCTTGTGGTTGTGAGCCTTGGTGTTGTGAGCCTTGGTGTTGTGGGCCTTGGTGTTGTGAGCCTTGGGGTTGTGAGCCTTGGGGTTGTGAGCCTTGGGGTTGTGAGCCTTGGGGTTGTGATCCTTGGGGTTGTGAGCCTTGGGGTTGTGAGCCTTGGGGTTTTGAGCCTTGGGGTTGTGAGCCTTGGGGTTGTGAGCCTTGGGGTTGTGAGCCTTGGGGTGTGAGCCTTGGTGTTGTGAGCCTTGTGGTTGTGAGCCTTGGTGTTGTGAGCCTTGGTGTTGTGAGCCTTGGTGTTGTGAGCCTTGGGGGTTGTGACCATTTCGGGCCCTGTGATAATTTGATGTTCTCTCATAGGGACATAAGTAAAGTCTCAGTTAGTTTAATGTAGATAGTGTGAGGTACAATTGATTACTAGTCTTCAGTGGTTGGTAATGAGGTAATCCCCCACAACTGATCAGTAGAATGGTCGGATGTGAGGTATTTCTCACTAATTGGAGTGAGGAGGAATTATCATGGTGGCAGTTACGTACCTCATGAATAGTAGAGTCCTCATAAGTAGCATGAGGTAGTGAGGCGTTGTTTGCTTTATGTAGATTTACCCACTTGATGTCGGTATTTCGTGTCCAGATGTTCCTTTTCCGGGAGTTACTAAACTTTTTGCACGTGTTTCAAATAAATCAGAATGATTACCATTAATATAAATGTTTTACTGAAACAATGAAACTCTAGAACGAGTTGTAGCACGTGGGTTGTAATGAGTGAAAGAGGCACTCAGGCCAGAGATTCACTCATATTTTCAAACACCTCCCTTATAACACATGAATGTTATTGATGAGTTGAGAAAGGATTCTCATAAAAGAATGAATTTATTCTTATCAATGATGTTAATATTCAATAAGATTTTTGTTCTCATAATTAAGGTGAGTGAATAGAGGGTTATGGGGGTGTGAGTTTTAATTCCATGTCTCGGCTGGACAATGAATTCTTCATCTTTAGAAGTCATAATCGCTGTGGCATAAAGTATTGATCTCTATATCACGCCCAATGCAATCCCAATAAGGTGAAACATCCATTGGAAAATATTATGACATTGGCTTTGATTGATCAAGCGTCTCTGGACTTAGCTTGGAGCTTTCTCCTGATAATTCCGTTACCTCTTGACACACGCACTACCCACTGTACCATGATGGGCTTCAAAATATTGCAACCAGAAGCTCTACATGACTTATTTGTAGTATAAGAGATACCAGCAAGAGCAGTGATTCAGAATCTGCAATATTATAAAATAAATAAGTAAAGGGATAAAAAGGAGAGATAATAACCTATTCAGAAATAAACTAAATGCAAAGAAATAAAGTAAAAGAGGCAGTATTCTACGAGTAGCCTTATAAAGAACACAAATTGACGATTTGACAACTCCGGCGAGTCACCTCGACGTGTTGCAGCGGATTCCTGAGGCATTTGGACTTAGTAAGTCCAGTTGATAGGTTGGTTTACGGCCCACTGCTGTAATGGGTCCTGGGAGGTGACTGGGTGGACTCGGTGGGTCGAGGTTTATCACGAGATATCTCGCAGTGAGGTGAACAGCCTTGAGTCCCGGGTGTAGAGACTGTGAGTGAGTAGACTTGAGAGACTGTGGACGCCGCTGGGGACATTGGTGCCTCCTTCTGCCACAGTACCCCGGGGTGTGAAGGCTCCCGTAGGGCTCGCGTAAGGCTTGATTACAAGTGATGTAAGTAGCGTAATAGTTGGTTAATTACCCAGGCTACAGAAAGCTGAAGGGCTAGGGATTAATATCTGCAGCTCAGTACTCAGAAACACACACACACACACACACACACACACACACACACACACACACACACACACACACACACACACACACATAACAACAAATGGTTGTTAGAGTTTAACCCAACCAAATGTAATGTAATGAAGATAGGTGTAGGGAGCAGGAGGCCAGATACAAGGTATCATCTGGGAGAGGAATTCTTCAGGAGTCAGAGAAGGAAAAAGACTTGGGGGTTGATATCACGCCAGACCTGTCTCCTGCGCACATATCAAGCGGATAACATCAGCGGCATATGCCAGGCTGGCCAACATACGAACGGCATTCAGAAACTTGTGTAAAGAATCATTCAGAACTTTGTATACCACATATGTCAGGCCAATCCTGGAGTATGCAGCCCCAGCATGGAGTCCATATCTAGTCAAGGATAAGACTAAACTGGAAAAGGTTCAAAGGTTTGCCACCAGACTAGTACCCGAGCTGAGAGGTATGAGCTACGAGGAGAGACTACGGGAATTAAACCTCACTTCGCTGGAAGACAGAAGAGTTAGGGGGGACATGATCACCACATTTAAGATTCTGAAGGGGATTGATAGGGTAGATAAAGACAGTCTATTTAACACAAGGGGAACACGCACAAGGGGACACAGGTGGAAACTGAGTGCCCAAATGAGCCACAGAGATATTAGAAAGAACTTTTTTAGTGTCAGAGTGGTTGACAAATGGAATGCATTAGGGGTTGATGTGGTGGAGGCTGACTCCATACACAGTTTCAAGTGTAGATATGACAGAGCCCGATAGGCTCAGGAATCTGTACACCTGTTGATTGACGGTTGAGAGGCGGGACCAAAGAGCCAGAGCTCAACCCCCGCAAACACAACTAGGTGAGTACAACTAGGTGAGTACACACACACACACACACTCTGGACCAAAGAGCCAAAGCTCAACGCCCGCAAGCACAATTAGGTGAGTACACACACACTCACACACACACACACACACACACACACACACACACACACACACACACACACGCACACTCACACACACACACACAGAAGGAAAACAACAGTGAAAGAACATGTATTGAAACTTCGAACAGGCGAGGACAGGTACACAGAGAATGACAGAGAGGTGTGTGAAGAACTCAACAAGAGGTTCCAGGAGGTCGTCACAATAGAACAAGGTGAGGTCACTGTGCTAGGAGAAAGGGAAGTAAACCAGGCGGCCTTGGAAGAGTTCGAAATTACGAGAGAGGAGGTCAAGAGACACCTGCTGGATCTGGATGTTAGAAAGGCTGTTGGTCCAGATGGGATCTCACCATGGATACTGAAAGAGTGTGCAGAGGCACTTTGCTTGCCACTCTCCATAGTGTATAGTAAGTCACTGGAGACGGGAGACCTACCAGAAATATGGAAGACGGCGAATGTGGTCCCAATATACAAAAAGGCGACAGGCAAGAGGCACTGAACTACAGGCCAGTGTCCTTGACTTGTATACCATGCAAGGTGATGGAGAAGATCGTGAGAAAAAACCTGGTAACACATCTGGAGAGAAGGGACTTCGTGACAAATCGCCAACATGGGTTCAGGGAGGGTAAATCTTGCCTTACAGGCTTGATAGAATTCTACGATCAGGTGACAAAGATTAAGCAAGAAAGAGAGGGCTGGGCGGATTGCATTTTCTTGGATTGTCGGAAAGCCTTTGACACAGTACTGCATAAGAGGCTGGTACATAAGCTGGAGAGACAGGCAGGTGTAGCTGGTAAGGTGCTCCAGTGGATAA